GCAGTACATAACACTGACATAACAGAGACAACGTACAGACCGATTTTCATTGGAAAAGTAATGCCATATTCCATAAGTCCATCTAAAAATATCCGACAGGTTTTTGAAGGCATTCAAGGCTAGGAAGATCCTCCTATTTAACTCTGGCAGATTAGTGCCATCACAAATGATGGAGTCGAGACACTTAAAGTGGTCTACCTTCTCAAGGGCTTAACCTCCCCATTCTACTTGCAGATCCGCAGAGCCGGATGCGTTCTTTATAACTTTTGACTTCTGGACATTTGGACGTTAAGAGAAAGGCCGGCTTTCACAATTGTGCTGCATACGGAAGGCGGGCAGTGACAGAGCCCTATTCAGTACTACTCACAAATAAAATATACCTATATACTCCAGGTCAGCAAAATACCTAGTTGAATATCTTGAACTGCGCCTTTCCTCCAGAGTGAGACCTTCGTCTTTGCCAGGATCAGCATTTTTTCAGAGAATTAAGTCGAATAATATCGAAGAGCAAAAACGAAAGCACTCTCCCTGGCAAACTCCAGAGTTAATAGGGAACCATTCGGATAGCTTGATTGACAGCAGACAGAAATCCTGGATATATTTCTTTTAAAACGGAAACGATGTGCTCAGTGATCTTATAGCATTTCAAGATAGTCTACATCGCTGCACACTGTAGGTGAATCACGTGCAGCTATAAAATTTAGTAAACTGGCAAATCGAATCGTCGGTACGGTTCAATGTCCTATACAGAGTGAAAATTTGGTCGAGGTAGGAGTATCCTATCCAGAAGCCTGCCTAATTTTGGCAAAGACTCCCATCAACTGCCTGCTCAAATTTTCCAGGATAATACAGGAGAAAAATTTCGCGGGAGTTGACAGTAGGGTAATAAAAAAATAACTGGAACGTTCGGTCACCCGACCTCCTTTAAATGCCCTGACAAACACTCCATACTTCCATTCTCCTTGAAAACGTTTGTAGGTCCACATCTAATGAAACAGGGCATGGAGCTTTTCTACCATTCCCGTTCCTCCATTCTTAACTCCATAGGAACTACACCGACCTCCCGTGACGTATTCACCCTAAGATGTAGCAAGGTTTCCGAATTTTTCATTTCGTTGGTGGATCCGTATTGCCACCTAGTGTTGCATGAGAATTAACGGCCAGAAATGACGAATATGGAGGGTAGCCATTGAGCAGCTGCCACAAATTCTCAGCCTATTTTTGAGGCGTTGCTTCAGACTTCCTTGTGGGATAGGAGTAGCATCTAGAATGAATGGCAGAGTCTCATGTCTACCAGACAACCATAGTACCACTTTGCACACTGTTCGTAATTATTCTTTCTGACTTCGAAATCGACTTTTCTGATTTTTCACTCTGGCCAGCGTTACCTGTACCGACTGAAGCTTTGGCTGACAGCAAGATCGAGAAAA